AGAAGAAATTTGAAAGGAAAGTTCTCTAGAATATTATCACACACACGCAGTGCGCACTATCTCCCGTCTTAATATGCGCTCTTTAGTCGACTACCTTGTTAATTACAACATGCATGGTAACCTCTGCACCGTGGGTATTTAAAATTAGCGAATATAATCATGCAATAATCTAAAATTAACACCGGCTTTCGAGTACAACTTTTTGCATCATTTTAGTGGTTCTTTTCCCAACAGTCAAGCCAAAGCCAGAGGCTTAACTGGCTCATGGCAAGCAGAGGAAAAAGATTTACATAGGAGGAAAGTAAGACTTCGAAGTAAATCGCAAGAGCAAAACACAGCACGAAAACTTACATAATGTAGCCCACTGACATGAGACAAAGCGGCAGTAATGCTTCAGTTAAGCTGCAAAGAAACTTACCTTCGCTATAGAGAAATACCATGCTAATCACCATGCAAAGAGGATGGTAGTTAAACTCGTGAGCTGTCCCATCCCAAGCGAATCCTCCGAGGTATTTCACTGTCCATGTACCGGTCAGTGCTATCGCCAACATCCCTAAAATTATAACTGCACCAACCGATAGGGAGAACACAAACAAAGAACGCATCGAAGATGTGCGATGTTGATCATCCGGAGCCATACTACAATGTTGTTCACTTCGCCACCTAAAGCTTAGGTTAAGGCACGTTTGTTAGAGCCACTTTGGAAAATTCGGTAATTTTATCCGTACTTGAGTGTTGTCGACTATTTTTAGTTTACATTCAGCGGAAGTTGGAAAAAGCATGTGACAAACAACGAATAGCCCCCTGTAGGGAGGGGTAAGGTAGGTGCTGCCTCCTCATTTAATAAATATGAAGTCACTCTCAGACGTTATGTAAGGGCAAAGCAGACGAACTAATACCGAGCGTAATGACCCTAAATCAGCCCAAGAAATTCACACGATGCAAAAGAACAACCACTTGAGCGGGGTAAATTTGTCCTTATTCAGAGCTGATCCAGACCTATTTAATGATGTTGAGAGCACGATCGTTCATTCCCATGCAAATCTTTTTGTTTCACGCGTCGCGCAACGTGGAAATATTTGTATATTCAAGGTGGCTCGCCGCGTGAGCTGTCTACCGTCGAGATGTTGATCACTTTGGTGTAGATTATATAATGATAAGTTAGCAAAAGAGAGCTAATGATCGCACATATTGTTAAAGGGTGTCAGTGAGTGATGGATTTTATGGCAAAAAGGTTAATATCGTTCCATTGTTGTCACCCGTAATTTTTATTATGATTAATTTTTACGACTGTTACTTAAAATTTGTCAAATCTTATGCTAAACGGCAATCGGTTAACCCCATTGAGACCTCCCTGTGAGCATGATGACGGTAAGTTTTCTCGTCCAGTATCTGTGACATAGAAGTATGTCTGGCTTTTATGTTAAAAATTCTTCCAAGACTGTGCAATGTCGGTCAGTTCTCGTTTTATTTTATTTTGGAGGACAAGGGCACGGGTCGGGATCCCGGTAACTTAAAGGGCCTGTGAAGTTGTTCTGTTTTCACTCAAGATGGGGGTTTCAAAAGTTTTGAATTTCCCACAATAAAACTATATCAGCTGACGAAACAAAATGGGCTGGTTGGAGTGCCAGAAACTACTTCTCTATTCTGTAAATGCTGATTTTAAAATATGGTGGAGCAGGTATTGTGGAAACCACCAGTTCCTTCGCAGTCGGAAGCGTTGCGTGACGGAATTATGTAAAGGAGTGTGACACTTGCAACGCTGGATCAAATTTCACGTTGTAACAGATGACAAGGAAGGTTTTCACGCATAACACTTGAGGTAAGTCATCTTAATCAGTGCTCTAGCATAGAGTTTTATAGCCTATTGATAAAGTAAACTGCTGCTGAAGCCCTGGGCTTATACAATTTCGTAAGGATTTTTAAGAGGGCTTGTAAACGGAAAGACTTATATTCGAAGGAGCTTACATCCGGAATAGAAAGTGCTACGAAACGAGTTACAGCAGTGCTGATAAAAAACTGGTTTTTAATTAAGCTTCAAAACATCACAATGAATCGAATTAATTTCAATACTCTTGGAACAGAATCAAAATTAACAACACGAACAAAACGGGAACAGCACAAAACGCAAGATCAGACCTTTTCCCTCGAAGTTCATCTTTGCTCTCCTGTTACCAAAATTTAAATGTTATATATGATTCTCTGCAGTGATGCTTCCTGCTTTATTGTAAAAAACAGGAAAAGCTAGATGAGGGCTTATAAGTGGGTGTGGCTTATAAGTGGCAGTTTATGGTACCTGGGGTAAATAATTTTGACAGGAGCACAATAAAATTCACCTAGGAGTGACAAACAGTTTAAAAATTGATTCGAGACACTCAACATCAAATCCTTTTTAGACATCAAATGTCATCTTTATTCTATTCTAAGATACTGAATCAGATCTTTTCAGACAACATGAAAATAATTGACTAATGATAATAATATTACAATAATTATTACTATTATATCCCAAGGCCTACCTTTAACCCTTTACATCTGAACATCAGTATGCATATTCTCCATACTGAACTCTAGACATTTCCTCAAGCACTGACAAGGAGAATTTGTCTAAAAATCAAGAGCTTTAAAAGTTGGCAATCATTTCCTAGATTCTCATGACCTTAATGTTTGACTCAGGTATGCTGATGTAAGGAGAAATTAGAAGCTGGTCACTTGAGAGTAAAAGAGTAAATATATAAACAACTCAAATGCCTAAAACAGGCTGTGGCAAGCATAATAATTCAATCCTAGTGTCCAGAAGATTGCATATAATTTATTTGGGGAT